CCAATATCTTCTTATATATATCTTCTTTTGCGTTCACCACAAGAAAGAAATTAATACAGGTTTGGGACAACATGAGAGTGAGTAAATAATGACAGAATTTTTGGGTGAACTCGCCCTTTAGTGACCAGCGGCAGCATGTTTAGTACTATTAGTCTGCTGTCACTTTAAGAGGTTTCTCTCAACTGTTTACTTTCACTTTAGACATAATCAGCTGTGTTTATATGTAAACCTTGTATGTTTTTGACAGTATTAGCTCAATCAGACGCTAAGTATAACTCAGTCCAGTAATCAGGCACTGTTTGACAGGATTTTTAGTGCGCGCGCTTCAGGTGTACGCTCCGAGAAAGCACACATCAGAACAGCACGAGAATGAAATGGTTAACCCGCAAGACTTTAAAGCACATGAAAATAATGCAGTATTGTGATTGAGAATAAGTGCAGTGTCCCGTGAGTGTAACTCTACTGCTGAGTGACATCTGATGTGAATGTATGTGGCGTTGTACAGTATATATAGAGACGGAGACGCCAGAACCACAGCTGAATGAATGTGCTAAGAAAGATACTTTTTTAGGAATTCATAACTTTGATCTTAGGAAAAAAATATTTATACACCGGCAACTCACTGACATGTATGATATACTCTACCATTCATAAGTTTGCCATCAGTAAGATTTATCTTTAAAAGAAATTCAGCAAGCCTGCATGCAATTGATCAAAAATGACAGTAAAGACATTTATAATGTTACAAAATATTTCCATTTCAAAAGATAAATAATAAATGTTTTTTTAACATTCTATTTATCAACGAAACCCGAAAAATAAAATGCATCACAGTTTCCACAAAAGTATTGAGCAGCACAACTGTTTTCAACATTGATAATAATCAGGAATGTTTCTTGAGCAGCAAATCAGCATATTAGAATGATTTCTGAAGATCATGTGACACTGAAGACTGGAGTAATGATGCTGAAAATACAGCTGCGCATCACAGAAATACATTACAGTTTAACAGATATTCACATAGAAAACAGCTGTAACAATTGTAATAATATTTCACAATTTTGACTGTATTTTTGATCAAATAAATGCAGCCTTGGTGAGAAGAGACTTAAAAGATCTAACCTACTGCAAACTTATAAATGTTAGCATGAATATTTTCAAACCTGGATACGTTTACTTGTATACAAAATTAGTTTTATCTAAATGTAGAAAATGTATTTTGGCATGAAGAAAATCTTCTGTCTGCGTCTCTCAATGACAGGCAGTGCAGCGTGAAACATACTCACTCCTAACTAGACTAGTTCCACACTAGTAACAAACATGCTGGTTACCTTCTCCTGTGTGGGCTTGATAACACTGTCATTTAACATCTGTCCCAATTCAGCAGCCTGAGAGAGAAACGCACAGCTGAACACACACACAATCTGGTGTATATCACGCACAAATAAAACCTGATGAAAACATGGAGTCACAGCACATGCATGACAGACCATCAGTGTGAGGAGGCATGATCTGTCACATGACTTTCAAACAGACCGCAGCACCAGTTTTTATTAGCAGAAGTGAATTGTGGGAATCAAGTGAAGTTATGATATGCATACTGGAAACGAGCAGGATTTGCATACTGAACGCCTGTCACATGTGTCATGCATCTGACTCAGTGTTCACATGTGCACACACACAGTCACACACACACACACACACACACACACACACACACACATATACAGTCACAAAAATCATTAATTACAACTAAACAATAACACTTGAGCTGGAAGAGCTCGTGCTGTGTAGTGAATACTGTTTGACAGACGTGACACAACAATTAACACCAGCTTCAGCATCTCACTGCTTCATAAAACATATTCAGGGCACACGTTCATGATCCAGTGCCTCAGATACGCCTTCTTTCTTTGCGTGAACATTTGGGCGGCGTTATGCAAATCTTTCCACATCGTGATGTAGACATGTGGGGGCGTGTTAGAACGAGCCGTTTTAGGTAGGTGTGGCTGACTCTGAACTTTTATAAAGAATATCTCTTTGGATTTGAGACTTTAGTCTTTGCAACTTTACAGATCTTCTTTATGCACCAAGAGCTTGTAACACACCAAAGAGAAAGGAAAAATTGAAATCGCATCATATGACCCCTTTAAGATAAATGGACATCTGACGGCCACTTTTAACCTATATAAGGGTACGAGTGTTTGAGCCCTACTATTTGTGCTCTTTACATCGAGCCTTTGGCTCAAGCAGATAAAATGAGAACTTGAGTGGGGTTAGAGTTAGTGAAGAACATCGTGTAATTGGGTTGTTTGTTGATAATGTAATTATCTATCTGCACTCCCTTTACTTCTGAACCTACTGATAGAGTTACCTGGATATAAAATAAATGTTTCAAAAACTCAGGTTCTAACATTTAATTTCTCCCCACCACAGTTCATCAGGCAAACATATAATCTAAAACGGGATGCCCCCAAGTGTATCGGGGGTAATTTTGACCAAAGAATATTCAGAACTCTATCGAAAAAAATATAATTAATAAAAACATCCAAAGAGACGTTGAGAGATCAGCTGGAATTTAGTTCAAGAATAGAGGTTGTGGAAATGAATATTGTCCCAAGATTACTGTATCTTTTCCCAGCGTTGCCAGTAATGATTCCTAGATTCAGCTCAGGGCTTGGGACAGGACAATTTCAAGATTTGTCTGGGAAAGGAAAAATCCTTGAATAAAATATACAATATTGCAGCTAGCAAAGGACAAAGGAGGACTAGCCTTGCCAAGCCTACTGGAATATTTTTACGCAGCACAAATTAGGTCTTGTATTTGCTGGTGTAACCCTTACACATCTAAATGGAAAAAATATCGTACGTGCAAACCAGGGTTTGCCTACACAGTGTCTTTTAGGTGACAAAGAAAAATCCTGGGCCCTTAAGAATCATTTAGATCAAATAAGTCACCAGACTTGAGGTGTGGTTTAAATGAGTTCAGCAGCACAGCCTACAAAATCAGATTATATTGTTGAGATGGGTGGCGTTTGATCATCATTTCAAACCAAGGCTTCTTGATGTAGGGTTTAGGAGATGGGCAACTAAAGGTTTAACTGTGATTACATTGACTCACAGTGATGGGTTTTCTGCTGTTAAAGACTTCTTCGAGCAGTAAAGGCGAGTCTGTCCAGAAATGTTTCCTCTGCAGGAGTTTGTCTGGATCACTAGTGTGTTTGCCATCAGAAGCATCATGCCACTGGTAGCTCCAATGTCACAAGGTTTAATTCAGTGAATGCAAGAACATAGAAGATGCAGTTCTTGAATACACTGCAAGTGGTTTTGCATGAAAACATCTACCAAAAGCAGAAATGTAAATGTTAGCCTAAACACAGGACAGGAGAGCAGGCAGCTCACATTAAACATCAGTATGATACACTGATATCACAATATGAACACTCCAAAAGAAGAAAACATGATGGTGTAAAACCCTTTAGAAAACCATGATCTAAAACCAATCAGCAGACTGCAGGGTCCACACAGAGACTGACGTCCTCCAGCGGTATAAAGTCTCATGAAACAGTTCATGACTAAACCAAAAAAAAATTAAATCCACACATATTTATAAACAAAATCATTTTATTTCAGTTGGATAGGAATGAATAGAAATGAGGAAGGTTTCTTCGACTATAATGGTGGTTCGGTTTTGCGTCAGTCTTAGCAGACTTTACACAGAGAGGACATAATCCTGATCACTAATCAGTGAGTTTTAGGGGCCGTTTAACTATTTAGTCTGGTAGAAATATACAGAGCGGCAGTGAAACCAGCACACTGATGCTGGACACAGGATAAGAGTCTCACTCACACACACACACACACACACACACACACACACACACACACACACACACACACACACACACACACAC